GTTTTTTACACTACCATTGAGAAATTTTAACCAAACTATGTTACAGACTTTTCATTAAGACCCTAAAGAATCATATCAACTTGTGGAAAATGGGCATCCGATGACCCCTTTAAAATACTAATTAAAGGGATAGTTTAAAAAAAAATTACACACACACAAAAAAAAACACAGATGTAGACTTGTTATGTGGAGGAGGTTGGTAATTGCATGGTTGGAATATAATAAATATGATGCTTTTTACATTACATAAGGCACACAATCTTTCAAACTGCTGTGTCTAAATAGTCTTATGAGGTGTATAAAAACAAGTTTTGATCACTGATTTAAAAAAAGAAAAGAAAAATCTGACAGGTTACCTGAAAACATTTGATGCACCTATTCTCCTGTCTGGATGTCCTTTGACAAAACTGAGCATAAAATATATTACACATCAGACCAACTGTGGTGAATGATAATGGTACAGGTAATTCATAAATGATTGTATTCATTCCTACATAAAGTGAAAAAACAAACTACACATTTAAACCAGCACACATCACATTTAAACAAGATGAACAAACAAAAACACAATGTGATGAGCTATCAAAACTAAAATATGTAAGAACTACCAAGAATGAACAGAAATCTACAGTCTTGTGTAACACAAATACTGAGTAATAAAAACTGCAGTACTAAGGACACAAAACTTTACAAACTGTACCGGCTGTCAGTGTTTCCATCACTGGAAAGTATTGGCTGATCCACTGAACAGTCACTCTTCACAGGCATATGGTTGGGTTTTGGTAATTGTAAGAGATCCACCCTCATGCCGTGTTTTCTCTTTCTATGAACATCAGATTAAGAAAAAGATTTCAGACATTTTAATGTACAGCACACATTGGGCCAGATTTACTAACAGCTTGCACCAGCACAAACCCACTGTTGTCATTAAATAACTACTTTACTAAAGGCACGCAGTGAAAAAATTAGCAATAAAAAAGCACTGACAGTTACTTTTGTGGCTGACCTTATTGCATATGCATTTGTAGGAGTTTCCCTTTCAGACACAAAATGTATTGGGGAGAGTATTTAAACATGATTTACTAAAGTTTGCACTAGTCAATTTACTGGTGTTTGTGTCATTATTTAACACCTAAAAAAAGCATGTCTTAAGCCATTTTGTCCTTGGCATGGCTACGATAGCTGCTGCTATAAGAGAACAGAAATGCAGAGAACAGAGATGTGTGGTAAAGTGTTATTTTATGTGGACTGCAAGAAAAAGACGTTCTTTTGCCAAGGCACTGAGATTGTTAGATTATCTTGGTATGTTGCATTAGACATTATGAAAATGAGCTGAGTGTTTGTGTTCTTTCATTTGCGTATTGTCAGTAGATCACCTACAGAACTTTACACTCCCATCTGCAGCTTTATGGGATTGCAGCTCGAGTCTGACACTAATTTGTCCAGGGTATTGGATTTTTAAGCTCAAATTTAAGACTTTTAAGACCTTTTTTTAAAACCTTCACAAATAAAATGAATACCATATGTGCGATGTAGGGCAATGTCTAAGGTAACATATTAAACTGTAAAATGACTGTAAAAAGCATTATTTACAGCTCAGATACAAGTTTTCACAAAAACAAAAAGTTTTATAAAATGATAAACTTCACATTTCAGCCTTTAAACCATTTTTAAAGGGCTCTCCGGGTATTAAGACATTTATAGCTTAATATAACGTAAATGATGTCTCTTATTTAAATATATAGTAGAAACCCCATGAAAGATGTTATTTAAAAAAATCAACATGGTTTTTGGACTACAAGGTAGCGGCAGTAGCTCACCGAGTGCAACCATTTTACGTCATCATAATAATGGCGCCCCCCATAGTCCAAAATATGTATAAAACGATGTGATTTCTTTCACGCGTTCTTACACATTCGCATGGACATATATATATCAAAATATCCCATAAATACAATCAGTTATGTCTTAAAGGGATCCCCGGGTATTAAGACATTTATAGCTTAATATAACGTAAATGATGTCTCTTATTTAAATATATAGTAGAAACCCCATGAAAGATGTTATTTAAAAAAATCAACATGGTTTTTGGACTACAAGGTAGCGGCAGTAGCTCACCGAGTGCAACCATTTTACGTCATCATAATAATGGCGCCCCCCATAGTCCAAAATATGTATAAAACGATGTGATTTTTAAAATAACAAATATTTAATGGGTCTTCTACTACATATTTCAAATTAATTAAATAACATATAAATACAGTTTACTATTTAGATTTTTATAATGCATTATCTTCTGATCGATCCACCAGTTCACATTTACAGCTCCGCGTGTTTGCAGGGTAAGAACATGGGTACATTTTCGCATTGGTCTGAACGAAAACAACAGGCTTATTGAAAATCCACATTCATCGTCTGCCAGCAGGTGGCGCTTTTGGAACAACCGAAATATAACTGTTTCCCGATAATGGCAGTACACAAAGCAGCGCAGCACCTGACTTTGAAACGTGCAACACTCATATTCAATGAAATCATAGCCTTTTAAAGTTTATTCGTCACATTATGCCATATCGCAATTCTGGTCTTTCTGTCCCCAAATTTAAGACCTCTTGAAATCATAATTAAGACTTTCTTGTACAATTTAAGACTTTTTATGGCCTTCAATTTGATTCAACTAAATTTAGGACTTTTTAAGACTCCGCAGAAAACCTGTTGTCCTTTTTAATATGGAAGAAAACTTTGTTGCAATTTGTGTCTCATACTGACTTTAAATATCAGATGATGATATGAATACCAACACAATTCACATGAGAGTTTCTTTTCTCATTCTAGATTGTACATGTAATACTGATTCCAGGGCTTGCAAAATTTCAAAATCCCTGGTAGCCCTTCAGAAAGGCACTCTTCAGGTTTTAATAGCCTGAGATAAATTTAAAATAACCTGAACAAAAAAAAATATATATATTTTTTTTTTATGCAGAATATTGGATAGGAGTCAAAACATAAATCAAAAACATTTTCAAAACACAAATATCAACAATTATCAAGGAAGGAATTTTATTAGACTATTTACAGGGAATCTGCAGAATTTCTTATTAAATTTAAAGGGGTCATATGATGCAATTTCAATTTTTCTTTTCTCTTTGGAGTGTTACAAGCTCTTGGTGCATAAAGAAGATCTGTAAAGTTGCAAAGACTAAAGTCTCAAATCCAAAGAGATATTCTTTATAAAAGTTAAGAATCAACCACGCCTACCTAAAACGGCTCGTTCCAACATGCCCCCACATGTCTACGTCACAATGTGGGAAGATTTGCATAACGCCGCCCAAATCTTCACGCAAAGAAAGAAGGCGTAACTTATTCTCGCTGTATTATTGTTGCTGCCGCCGCCGCCATGTTGTGGAGATGCTGTGTGTTTCGTTATGAAA